GGGAACTGTAGTTTTAGTGGGGGGGGGAGGAGATGTAGGAATTTTGAATGCAGTGAACTCATTCAACTATGATCCCAGAAATCATTATTTTTCTTTAAAAAATCTACACAGGTTTTAGTGCTAAAGTAGAGATATTCATTGTCCAAGTCCACTCTACATTTTCATTCAGACTTTTCCCCAATTTTATTTTATTGCGTGTATGTGTGTATAAATAAAATGACAGATAAAATATTTCTGACAGCACAATCCATTTCTAATCTATACTTTTCAGATTAGAAAAATATTAAGATCATTTACCAAAGAAAATTATCCTGCCTAGAGTGGAAAAGCCATTAAAAAAATCGGATACCTTTTTGCAAAAAAGCCATGAAGACCTTGAAAGTGATTGTCTACATTAATCATGAAGACACATTATGCTAAAAAAGGCTGATGTGAAGAGTGAATATCTGAATTGACCTAATGTTCATGCAAGATAGATTTATAGTACACTACCTCTGGACCTTCAAGGAGTTTACAGAACCCAAAGGTTAGAGATGAAGGAGGACAAAGATGGGATGAGCCTGTTAGAGACAGATACAATAAAGATATAGCAAAATAAAGAACATGGAGATGATCATGCACAACAGCAGAGTTTAGATCAGAGATTGTCAAACTTTCTCTGACTGCGAAATCTGTTTGTTAGAAAAAAACATATATTCAGGAAATCTTGATCAAGAGGCAAACCTCTAGTGCTGTGGTTCTCAACCTGTGGATTGGGACCCCTTTGGGGGTCGAACGACCCTTTCACAGGGGTCACCTAAGATGATATTTTCAATGGTCTTAGAAACCGAGAGACCAATTTTATGGTTGGGGGTCACCACAACATGAGGAACTGTATAAAAGAGTCGTGGCATTGGGAAGGTTGAGAACCACTGCTCTAGTGATTAAAAAAAAAACTGCCACATGCTAGTGAACTTTTTTTTTCTTGTCCTCAATCTCTCAAAGAACCCTCCTGCCAAGTTCACACAGAATAGTAGGGTTCCATGAAACACAGTTTGAAAAACTCTGGTTTAGATCGTGCACTATTATTCGTGAACAAGGAAACCTCTGGTGAAGGAAAGGTATGATATGAAGTGGGAATGGTTTAAGAATGATGGAATATTTATTTCAAAGTAGTAATATGATAACATTTCTGTGAAAAGAAATAGTAAAACTGAAAAGGATGAACAGAGGGGAACGAGTGAGAAAATAAGAAAGAGTGACCAGGCTGTGGAAATTTTGAAGCCAGGAACACCTAAATTTTAAGGAATACAAACTAGAACTATTAAATAGCATAGAATTTTCCTCCAGCAGCATTCAAACAAGAACATTCCATGGATTGATTATACCTTTGGTGGAACTTGCAGCAGAAGACATAAAAAATTCTGGTAGGGCAATCTAAATATGTCAGTGGCATATCGTAATCTCTTATACAGAGGTGGGCTTCACATAATTTAACAACCGATTCGCCTAGTGCAGAACTGAAAATGTGAGCTTGTGTGCAGCTTTAAACACACGGCGATTTCCTGTGTGCGGCTTCCAGCAGCTTCTTTGGCAGCCACAGTGAGTAGAATGGGTGAGGCAAGGAAATAAATTGGGCTGCATGGGCGGGGCAAGTGAAAGCATCAGTGAGATGTACAGGACAGGATAGCGCTGGGGAGAGTGGGTTGGCCCAGCTGGTGGTCGGAACTACCAGTTCACCCGAACTGGTCCGAACCGGCCGCAGCCACCTCTGCTCATATAGCTTCCCAGAACCATGGAAATTGAAGACAGGGCTGAGGATGACAATGTTATATTAAGACTGTCATCTTAATCAAAAATGTCATAGTTTTGATGGTCTGTTATTCTTGTTCAGTATATTTTTATCCTCACTTCCATTATCAATAACAATAACCAATAACAAAGCCCGTAATGTGAAACCTACTCTATCCACAGGGGAGGACATTATTTATATGTAAATAAATAAATATGTAACTACAAAAGAAACTTTAAAGAAATACCTATTACTACTGAAGTTGCGGGAAACAAATGATCATACGATCTTTTACATATAATAAACAAATAGATATATTTTACTGATAAATTTGATATTAAATTTAATATATTTGTTTATCTGATCAATAAATATGTAAATAAATAAAGTTTGGCTCCCTCAAGATACAGTCCATTCAGAAAAGAAAATCATCCATGTCCTTAGTAATTAGGATATCATGGAAAGGGTTGGATTAGGAACCTAGGGACTTGCTTTTATCAATGCAATTTTTTTCATCTGTAGTAGAAAAGATAGCATTGGTTAATGCAAATTATCCATTCCCCAAGTTGGCTTTTCCAGAGAAAATATTGTCAGCTCAGCCATAAAATAATTGGAAGGCTATGGAATTTTGCTAAATATGGAATATATAATAGGCAACTATAGGTTACCACATATAAATAACTCTTTAGAAAAAAATATATTCATGAAATGCTGTTTGATTTTTTTTTGGAGGGGGGTTCTCTCAAATACAGCTTTATTTGTGTAGGCCTGCCTTGAGTTCGATCCTAGGTAGAGGCAGATGTAGGGTCTCCTGCTTGGGTAGGGGGTTGGACTAGATGACCTGCAAGGTACCTTCCAACTGTGTTAATCTGTTACTTCATTATCTCACATAATCCCCCTTCCCACAACTGATCTCACCAAATACAAAATGTGCTGCTATATCCATTCACACCAGTGGTGGGATACAACCGGTACACCCGGTATGGGCGTACCAGTGCCTGCTGGGAGCACCAGGTACCGTTCCGGTACAGTAGTGCTCTGGAGGGCGCACCTGCCCGCCCACTCTGCTTACCACTATTTGAGCCAATTGGGGCATTTGAACAAGCACATGGAGTGTACGGTGCCTGCGCAATACTCCACCAAGCAGCTGGAGCGTCGCAGGCAGTCCGTACGCATGCACGCACTGCGCACGTGCACGTGGTGGGCGCCTGGCCCCGTTGCACCATACCAGTTGCACCGGGATCCAGAACCCACCACTGATTCACACATAGTTCTGTATAGGGGAATTGCATCTTTGTCCTTGTTAAGATGGCTTCTGCTACCTCTAGTTCCATTATAAACAATCTGGGCTTCAATGGTCCAATTTAAATGAATTCAAGAACATTTATGAGAGGTTTCTCCTTTACCTAGTATTGGGTCATAAAAAACTCCATCTACTGACTTCATTAATATAAGCCACACCCAGATGATGCACTGGTTCTAAACAATGCTCAAATTAAGCAGCTAAGTAATAATAATAAACAAGATGCAATGACAGAAATTTAATATCCCTAACTCTTTTTTACTTCAAAAAAGATTTATCGCATGTGATGCTGTTTGAAGGGTGAATGTATTGCTAAGTGTTCAAAGTAAGAATTGTTGAAAATATTCAAAGTGGAATATTAGAAGACATACTTCTCATTTACATTGCATAGACCATAACTCTACCTTAGCAAGATTGGGGTAATCTGTAATTTAATCAATTTAATCTGTAATCCATCAATGCGATTACCCAGGGAATTATCAACTTTCTTGTGACTGAATCAAAAGTATTGCTTATTTAATGGCCAATGTTATGAAATATTGATCACTAAAGTCATGACAATAATCTGTTGACCTCTGTTACAATTTGCACTCAAATATAACCAACTCAAATCCTTGTTGCTAACAGATTCTTAATAGAACTAATTCTGTTAACAGAATGTAATTGCATCAATGTTAGTTTACTAATACTCATCATTGTTACTGAAAAATGAGTCAAAATAGATTGGTACTGTTCAAATATATTGATCCAGAGTTTGTATCATTCCTAAGGAGCAGTCAATGAGCAAGTTAAGTATGGAATTGTATTCTAGCACAGGTGCAAGGCATCTATTTAGGGGGGGAATGTTTAAGACATATATGGCACAGTTCCGAACCTCCTTACCTGAAATAGTCTCAAAGAAATCAGACTTGGTTAAAGGCTTTATTTCAAGACAAAAGATAATTTGCAAAATCTTTTTCATAAGGGATTTTATAAAATGTATTGCTTATGTCTCCTGAAGTCAGGATAATTGGCTTGCTTTGTTCTGAAAATATCATTTTTCCCATCTTAATCTTAGCAACTCATAATTGTTTAGGAAATGGAGTGACAACAGACACACTTACATAACCCCACAAAAATGATTGCTTTTTTTTCTTTTATAACTCTCTTCTCACTTTATCTCAAACTCTGAATTGATGAAAGTAGCCTTAGGAATGTATAAATGTTATTTAAATCCATTCATTGAAATCAACGAGGTATACAGCAACTGCTGAATATATCTTTCTGTAAAAACAACTAGTTAAATAAAGAAGCCAGTTAAGCTCCTGCACATCAGTACGAAAAACTTACGCTTTCCCTTCCTGATTGCCTGTAAATTGTTTCCTTTTATGAGGTGTCCTACTCTATAATTTCAGAGCCACTGTCAAAGATTTGCTACCCCTTATAATTCCAATTCCCCACAGTTAGGGAAGGAAACCTGAGAAAATGCACGTGTTGGACAAGAAGAAATGCCATTTAAAATCAAAATATGACATAAAGGTTCCCCTCACACATATGTGCTAGTCATTCCTGACTCTGGGAGGCAGTGTTCATCTTCGTTTCAAAGCTGAAGTGCCAGCGCTGTCCAAAGACGTCTCCATGGTCATGTGGCCGGCATGACTCAACGCCGAAGGCGCACAGAATGCTGTTATCATCTGATTAAAGGTGATCCCTATTTTTCTACTTGAATAGGTATAGGGACAGGTAATGGGAGAGGTAATGGGAGCTCACTCCGTTATGTGGTGCTAGGGATTCAAACCGCCAAACTGCCGACCTTTCTGATCGACAAGCTCAGCATCTTAGCCACTGAGCCACTGCGTTCCTAAAATGTGGCATAAATCACAGTTTTTGGAAAATCCATTGTATCAAAGCTACATTAACCATTACTTAATTAACATGACATTTTACCATTTTTGTCCATGGAATGGGGTTCAGACTGTTTCTTGCCAATGTCAGCAAAGGACCTGACTATTGGGATCCTATTGCTTAATTTCTTTTGGTTCTGATGGTGATGCTGTTTGAGTAGCGCCTCATGGACTCTGTGGCGAACATCTTCACTGAGTTGTCCGGACCCTACTTGTTGATCAAGAATCATATCTGAAAAATAAAACAGCAATTGAAGGATCTTTTGGGTTTTGAGTCAATTATGCAATAAGTAACCACATTTCCAATGGATTCTCAATTGAAGCATTTGGTCAAATCTGTTACTTATATATGAGACTAGTTGGATACCTGTGCTTCACGACAAAACTATGTGATCNCCGTTTTAAAGCGCCCTTCTGTTGCCGCGCTGTTGTCGCGGCGGTGATGACGCGCGGTGATGACGTCACAGCTTTATTGCCGAGATTTTATCGCCGCGATTTTGACCAGCGCGGTATTGTCATGCCACGGGAAAAACTTCCCCGTTTTTGTGAAAAATGGGCAGAAAATGGGCTGGGTTTTTTTGCAAAAAACAGAGGCATTTTTGCCTTGCCCCAGCCCTGCTGAAGCCTGCAGAGTGCTTCTGGGGGCTGGGGAAGTCAAAAATGCCTCAAAGTTTGTGAAAAATGGCCTGGTTTTTGCCCATTTTTGCCTTCCCCCAGCCCTGCTGAAGCCTGCAGAGTGCTTCTGGAGGCTGGGGGAAGGCAAAAACTCCTCCATGTTTGCAAAAAAACGGCCCATCTATGGGACTTCTCTGGGATGTGCACACCATTAAAAAAGGGGAAAATACATTTTTTCAATGAAGATTGTTTTACGCATGTGCAGAACAGAAAATAAAAATGGCGGCGCCCAGAATAGAACCAGTATGGAGCATCGAGGTGTCAGGTGAAAGGTAGAGATAAAAAAGAGCTACCAGGGGTATTGCTGCAGTAGAAATGCATAAATCGAACCCAGGCAGCTAATTCACAGGGTTGCAGCCGAACGATAAGTTCCAGTTTCATAATCATTTGTCAGTCAGTTAAAGAGGGTGCTTTTCAGGGAGCAGATGAGTAATTGCACCCCGTGTATAAAAAGAGGGATGGGTGATTTAAAGCCAGTTAATATCCCTGTCCCCATTGTAAAATGACTCCATTAGAGAAGTAGTACTGATTACTTCCCTACTTTGAACTGTATAGATCAATAGGCCTTCCTTGGTTGTCAGATTGTTGATCAAAACCCATCCTGGCTAATCCTTCAAAAATCCAATGAGTCTGGCATCCAGGATAAGAACAAAGGGCGATCTAGAAAGCTATCTAAAGCTTTCTAGTTCTCCAGGATAAGATGATCTAGAAAGATAACTAGACTTTCAGTTCCCCAAGATAAAAGCAGAGACTGATCTAAAAAGTTATGTAAAGACTTCCAGTTCTCCAGGATAGCAGCAAATGGTGATGTAGACAGATTTGAAATCTTCTAGTTTTCCAGGATAAGAGCAAACACTGATCTAGAGTCTAGACAGTTGTTTGAAATCTTCTAGTTCTCCAGGATAAGAGCAAAGGATGATCTAGAAAGATATTTGAAATTTTCTAGTTCACCAGAGTAAGACCAGTGGATGATCTAAAGTTTTCTAGTTCTCCAAGATAAAAAAGGATGATATAGACAGTTATCTAAAGTCTTCTAATTCTCCAGGATAAGAACAAACAATGATATATTCTAGACACTTATTTGAAATCTAGTTCACCAGGATAAGAGCAGAGGGTGATCTAGAAAGCTATCTAAATTCTAGTTCTCCAAGATAGCAAAGGATGATCTAGAAAGCTATTTAGCCTTTCAGTTCCCCAGGATAAAAGAAGCAGAGATTGATCTAAAAAATTATATAATGACTTCCAGTTCTCTAGAATGATCTAGACAGTTCTTTGAAATCTTCCAGTTCGCCAGGATAAGAGCAGAGAGAGTGATCTAGAAAGTTATCCGAAGTCTGCTGATTCTGGGTGAGGTATAACTTTCAAGGATGTGTGTCAGCTGACCTCTCAATTGATGACTCTTCTTAAAATTTTCAGATCTCAGTTAAAATGCAAAGAGGGCATCTCTAGAATTTTTTAAAAACAGGAGTGGACCAGGTGTGATGATCCAGATGCAAGGGCTCCAGAAGACATTTTTTATGATCGATGGCCAGAGTTGTGAAGGTTAACAGGACAACCTTTGGAACTCTTTGCCTCATGATAAATTGATTTATTTTGGTGTCTTTGAGCTAGTTTTGGCAACTGTTTGGACAAGTCCCTGTAGTATTCTTGGCAGGACTTTGGAAATGGTTGACTTGAGGGATTCTTACATAGCTTCCAATGCTCAAGTAGCATGGTCAATGCTCATTCTGGCTGTGAGCTCCGGGGCTGTTATATTCCTCTGAAAAGTTGTCAGGGTTCCAAGTAATACACCCACAGCAAACAAAACTCCCAGGCAGGTAGTTTCCTCAAAGAACAGTTTTATTGGATATATCATATTGGCACAAGCTGCTGAAAACCGACTCTGAATATTCCTGTGGTTTTCACCTAATTAAAAGTAAAAGTTTTTTCCCCTTCCCCAAACCATCAGTCACATGGTCCAATCGAGGTGCTGTCTGGTTGCCTGGTAACTTCATTCCTCCTCTCCCCGACCACCTGTGGGAATGTCCTTGGTTCCCAGGAGAAAGTATTTTGTTTGGACTACAAAACCCCAGCTGTCTCTATTCCCTCCCTATCCCTCAGCTCCAGTGTGGCAACACGGAAGCCTCAAAATGGTCTCGGTCAGGTCAGCTTCAAGGTTGGTCAAAGTATTCTTGAAAAATATTTAAGAGCAAATGTTGCTCTTGGTTTAGAGGAGCCCTCTATGGACAGCATGGTTGCGGATGAGAAGGTCATCTAGGACACCTTCTTCACAATCTCTTCCACAGGCCCAGTGGGATCTCTTGAGGAGAAGCACCAACATTATTGGATTAGATACCTTGCTTTAAGGAGCATCGGCATTATTGGATTAGATACAGATGAGGAAAGAGATTCCATCTGTTACGGAAACAGCTGTGCATCTTGGCACATAGTTTCACCCAATCTCCCTTGGGTTGAGGTTGACTTTGAAGGAGCACAAGAACCAGCCAGTGGTGGGGTTTGGAGGTTCCCTTAACCGGCCACAACATTAGCTATGGGTTCTCCCGAACCTGGGCGAACCTGTAGCAGCCCACCCCTGCATATTTTCAACTTTCTGCATCTGAATACAAAACACCAGAATAACAGAGTTGGAAGGAATCTTGGAGGTCTTCTAAGACCCACGACTGCTGGGCCCAATCTGCTACGAATCATATTGTTGAAGTCTGTGGATGACACAGCAGTGGCGGGTCTTATCGGGGATGACAATGAAGATGCTTCTAGGGAAGGCTCTGGTGGACCGGTGCAATAAATGTAACCTGATTGTAAATGTTAATAAAGCAAAGGAGAATCTATTTTTTCATATTTCTATTCTATTCTATTCTATTCTATTCTATTCTATTCTATTCTATTCTATTCTATTCTATTCTATTCTATT